GAGCTGGGGGGGCTCAGCCTGGAGCAGAGAAGGCTCCGGGGAGACCTTAGTGCAGCTGCCAGGGCTGAGAGGGGCTGATAAGAAAGATGGGGACAGACTTTTTAGCAGGGCCTGTAGCGATAGGACAAGGCGTAACGGTTTTAAACTGAAAGTGGGCAGATTCAGACTAGATCTACGGCAGAAACGTGTCACACTGAGGGTGGTAAAACCCTGGCCCAGGTTGCCCAGAGAGGTGGTGGCTGCCCCATCCCTGGAAACATCCCAGGTCAGGCTGGACGGGGCTCTGAGCAACCTGCTCGAGTTGGGGATGTCCCTGCTCATGGCAGGGGGTTGGACTAGATGGCCTTGAAAGGTCCCTTCCCATCCAAACCCTTCTGGGATTCTATGCACACTGGTTTTGCCAGAGAGAGCAGGGAGGGGATGCTCCCAAGCCCAGGGCCGAGACAAGATAGGAGGGAAGAAAATTGCCAGGATATTGCTGGTCATCTTGGGCGAGGCTCAGCCAAAAAGCAGTAACATATATCCTGCTAATTTTCATGAGACTTATGCTCCTGACTCAGTATGGCACATTTTCAAGAGGAAATGCTGGCCCAGGGCACAGCAAGCCTCGATGGTATCACGGGAAGGTGCCTTCAGAGAAACGCTCCTCTGGTGCAGGAACTACGAAACGCTCATCCCTCCCAAAAACCTCAGACCACCAACAGAACATGAAAATACCTGGGAGCCTCCCTTAAGACAGCGAGTTCCTCAATGCCAACCGCACTGCTGCAGTGTTCACTGCTTTCTTTTTGGTGTAGGTGGGCACGCTTACAATCTATGAAAACCTGAAGCCAACAGCATTAACCTACGTGAAGGCAGGATGCGTGTGCTGCTGCTGTTTTATCTGCTTTCACCTGCGCTTCCCACCTTGCCACTCCAAGAACCCAAACCGACCGCAGTGAATGACAGAGGGTGAGAAAATGAGAACGGATTGACTTTGCAACAAAAGAAGCAGAGAGCAAAAGCATGGAGTAGAGAAAGACTGGTAGTGGTGGAGAAAGCAGGGAGAGGGCAGGAGAATGATATAGAATAAATATTTATTTTTCTCAGCTCTGCAGCCCACTGAGTGATCTCTCCTGGTGGGCTCCTTGCTGTCTGTACAATCCAGGACACAGGCTGCAGGAACACTTAGGAGTGGCTCAAGGGCGTTTGACATCGAGGCCAGGGCTTGCTCTACCAGCCTCATACAGACCTTGCTGCCTCTACCACTCCCTGCCCCTTACCGAGAGCACCCACAGCTGCAAGGCTATACATTATATACCCAGCTAGCATGTGGCACCAGGGCGGCAAAGGCTTCCCCTAAGGCAGAATCAAATTTGCTGTATGGCTTAGTTAATTCTGCTGTGCTCAGCACGGCACAGTCAGGAGCTTAGAAACAGCCTCCACAATACAAACCCAACAGTAATTTCTTCCCTTCCATTCTCTAAGAGCTGTGAACTACTCTTTTCCCTTTTGTGTCCTTTCCCTTTTGTGTCCTTTCCTAAAGACACTCTCCTTTTGCTTTGGCTGCCACCTCCTTTCCCGCTGGAAAAGGGCCACCAGCGTGGGGATTCGGTCCTACGCTCCCATCTCCATCAGGTTTATCCACTTGAAGCAGGCACTGGCAGCAGAAACCTCTGTGCACACAGCACCCTCCAACCCCTCTCCCCCCCAGGGATGCCCAGTCCCCTTCATTAACATTAAAAAACACACATCAACCTTCAAAATCAGAACAGCTCTGACCTTATTTGCACCGGATCCTCTGAAGCCAATTGCAAAAGAGAAGCAGACAGTGAGGAGTTCATGAAAGCAATTCACCGGCCACGCGCTGGCCTTGCCTGGAGAGAAGGTCCCCTACCAGGTTAACCCCCAGCAGACTTTAGCACCGTATACAGCTTGCACGGAGAGGAGCGATCCCCGAGCCTTTCTCTGGGGGAACGGCGTGCTTGAGACGATTTCTCTTGTGAGGTCTCGCCAACATTGGCATCTGCTGGCTACGAGAGGCTAAAGCGATCCAGCAGCCCAAAGCACTCAAGGTAACACTCTCCTCCTACCGAGGGAGCCAGGAATTTTTTGGGTTCCGTTTTCGTCCTTGGCAATGACTCCCTGGAAGGCCTTTCTCAGCCTCAGCTTCCCCATCTGTTCTGCTTGCCTCTTTGGGAGGCTGTGGAGCTCGAGGGATGTGTGTAAAGGCCTCCAAGACTGGTTATATAAAAGAGAAAGAGCAATACATTGGCTTGTGCCGTGGCTTGCCTTCCTGGCAGTATTTTAAGAGAGATGCATCTAAGCAGGATCTGCTAATGATGCAGTTTGACAAAAAACTAAAAGCAACAAAATAAGAACACATTTGGGCACCCAAGTCTTCATTTCTGTTTTCTGAGAAGAACAGAGAATGAATGAGCATGGATTTTGGAGTCGTCTGCTATTGTGTAGCTGAAGCAAATCTGATGTGAAAAGTTCTCACTCTGCAGAATTCCACTGCTAAATCAATTATCCTGCATCAACAGGTGGTCTTTGCTACAGGAACAGGGAGAAAACAGTCCCACCTTCCACTGAGGGGTGACCAATTTGGTTCTGACAAGCTACTAAGTGCCCGTGGGGAATCAGGAGAAGACCCCAGCTATTCTCTCCTAATGACCTCCAGCACCATTGCCTTTCCTAACTGGGATCCCAAAGGCACACCACATTTCCCTCTGCCACTCTCAGGGGGGAGTCCGCAGGACCGAGACTTTAACCTGGTCAGCAGTCAAGTGTATCACAGGCCGCAGCTGAAAAAAAATCATGTTTATACAGCTATTTTTGAAACAGTACATCAGCCTTCGAGCTCCCAGGACAAGCCCTTTCTACAGAGACAGGAAGGTCGATGGTAAACAGGGACTGTGCGATGTTACCAGAAGCATTCCCAGCTTTTATCAGTCAAACTGGGACAGCTGCAACTGAACTCAATTTGGCAGTAATTAATCTAAATTTGAATTATGCTGCTTCTCATAATCCCAAAACAAATATTACTAAATTAACCAAGATGTTGCTCTTTAACTGCCCATTGCGGAGCAGGTGCAGTAATTTCTCCCCACCCCGATACTCCAGAATCCATAATCTGCCCGGGGCTGCTCGGGGCTTCACAGGCGCTGCTTCTCGCAGCCTGGGCGCAGGGATGCTCTGGGCCCACAGGCAGCCCTGCTTCGAGACAGACAAGTTAGCGAGGGGGTGAGACATCCAAAACAGAGACCGTGTAAATGATGTCGGGGGAGAACCTACGCCTAAGGGCAGAGGTACCTACAGAAAAAGGAATAATGGTACAACGTGCCGGGACAAATGAAGATGTGGTGACTTGGCATGGTGTCCTGCCTGGATAAATAAACGTGAAAGGACATCGCCCCTACCGACTTCCTCATGGAGAGACTTCCAGCCTTTTCCCAGAAGTCTGTTCCCCAACGCTGAGGATAAGGAGACTATTTTTAATTTTACCAAGGAGAAAGTGCAGAACAGAGCGATTAAATGACTTGGCCACGGTCACAGGCAGTGACCCAGGCCTCCGGCAGGGCAGGAGGACGGGACTCCCCGATGGCCCGTTACAGCCGTTCCACCGCCTGCTTCAGCGCCGACACCTCCGCACCGAGCGCCTGCAACGCCCCTGAACTAAAGACGACGCAAACCGCACACCCTACTCGCACTTTAGCCGAGGGTTTAATCGAGCATCGGAATGGATGCAGGCTCAAACAACACTCTGGAGCTGCGTGCACCCATGACCCATGTGGGGCAAGGACCTGCGGCTGCTGCCCATGGACCTCATTCAGAAGGAAGCCAAGCAACATGATCCTCTGCTTGGGCTACAGCATGTTTCTGAGCTCAGGACGGCTGCCGGAGGGCCCCTCGTGGCACCCCAGTTAGATGAGACAGGGCTCCTGCTTCTGCCCACCCGGTCCTGTGGCTAATGCCAGCACAGTGAATCAGGAGAGGTCAGGGCTGCGGGGATGTGGACGATAACCCGTCCCGTATGTCCTATCATACATAGGTCTCCAAAGAGCCACCACTTGCTGGCTGTTACTGCTGAAAGGGATCAAGTTAAAGCCAGTGATCCGGCAATAAGAAGCTCCAACTCCCTCCTCATTATTCAGACTTTCCTTAGCCAAAACACAACCAGGCCTCATCCCCTACCAAAACAGAGGTAGAGAGTCACTCTGAAACCCCGAATTCCTGAAAGCTCTTTTTGCCAGCTCTTAAAAACAGCACAAATTTCAAATGCTCTGGCAGCACCAGCTGCTATCTCATAGTATCTACCCATCACATTTCCTTTGCAATTTGCTTGTGAAGACCCCAAACAAGTCAAGGCTTCAAATAAGGTCAGTGTTTGTTTGATTAGTTGTGTTACCTTTGTTCTCACGGGTGCATTACCCAAGTGAAAGACTGACTTATTTAGTGATAACCGAGTACCCAGTAATTCTCATTTGCTTAGCTACAGTTAAACAGCACCTCCTTGGTTTATGCACCCACTGAGCTTGCAGATACGGGAATGGACCACGGAGCACTCCTTAGAGGGTCCACTGGCATGGGAGAAAGGTTGAAGAAACAAACATGTGGATAAATGATGAAATAAAGGCCCAAAAGGAAAGGGCACAAGGAATCTAGGAGAAAGAGCACCCAAGCAAGCATCAGCTCTGAGACACAGCAGGCAAGAGGGAGCTAGAAAAGAAACAGCAATATACCCAAAGCTCTCAGTGCGACAGCGAACTCCAGAGGTGACATCAGGAGGGGGCAGATCAGGGATGGAGTCCATCTGAAGGAAATAAGAGGAGGTGGTGTGATGGTAATAGGTAGGGTGGACATGGCAAGCAGGAGCAGATGCAGCGATGGTGGATGAGGAGCAAGAGGCGGAAGAGGTGGTGGTGGCAGCAGATGATGGGCTGGTGCCGGGAAGGTCGGAACTGAAAGACTGTCCAGAGGAGAGGCTGTGCATTCGACGGAGAGAGACTCTGCCTGCCCGGTAATGGGCAGGTTGGCCCGACTCATTCTGGCCTTGCACATAACTCTCTACCAACCTCTGAGATCCGTGGGCGTGCTGTGGGTCCACCAGGCGCTGGCGAACTGTGGTGGGCAAGGCAGGAGCTGTAACGAGAGAAAGGGGAGAACGCTGAAGGCAGCTGGAAAGAGACTGCACATCAAATCCGCGAGGAGGCACCGCGATGAAGCTGCCGCCCACAGCCAGGGCTATGCACCGCAGCGCCATGCCTTCTGTCACCGCGACACTTGCTCCGGCCGCTGCAGCCATCCCACCTTCTGCTATCAGTTATGCTGGTTTACTGCAGAAGAAGCATTAAGCTGGCGCTACTGCTCAACATGCTAGATTAATGCCCAGCCCTTGAAAAACTACGCATGACATTTCTGCTACAGGTGCTTTCTGAACACCTTATCTGATCATCTTGCTTGAAGCAGAAATTGGCTGCATGATTCATCCTACCCAACTTTACGTCAGAACTACCACCCGGGCTCCCTTTACAGTAAACGTGAAGAAGTCGGTACTTTCAGAACATGATTCATTTCATCCTAACGCAGACATCCAAATCGTTCAGATGCTTCATGCCTTGGTAGTACTATTTCCCTACGCAGCCTAAAAAAGGAGCCTCCGGTGATCAGCTCAGATGTAGGCACCTAAAGCTGGCGAGGTGAGCTCCACTCCCGGAGCTCAGCTCTGCTCTTGCTTCCAGCACCGTCATGCTGGTGCGACTGCTGGAGCAAGGCCAGGAATGCGGGACCAAAAGCGGGGTTGTGAAGTACAGCCACACTTCGTGTTCAGGCGCAGGACAGCTTCGATGAAGATGGAAAAACCTCCCAGCCTTGTACCCTTCCGCAAGGCAGAATGCCTGGGACACGTGGCAGATGCATAGTAACTATGGTATTAATTGGGTAGGCACAGGCTTTTGTCATCAGTCCATGCCTGAAATTATAGCTCTGGTCCAAAAGTGGCATCATCTGTTCCCAGTCTGTCTGATAATTAACTTACTGATCAAAGAGAGGCTCAATTGGAAAAATATTTTTCTCTAATTGCAAATTCATCTTGGTTTGGAGAAACAAACTGGACCACCTCCTCCAGCGCACTGTCACCAGCTTTTAAACATCATAATGATCTTTCTGGCCACATAGCCTTACCTGGTCAGGCATGAGAGACCAGAGAGCTCAGCCAGTTGTCTCTGCACAAAGCCTACACTACCTCTGCACCGCACCGACACACTGAGCCGGAGCCAGGGCCTTGCCTTCAGAGGGGCAGACGGAGGCACCTTCGCCCACACGGAGATTTCTGCACACTCATTTCCATCAGGCAGAGCGTGAAACATGGAAAACTAAGGATCCACGGGGCTGCATCGCCATCCTGCAACCAGACTGCTTGTATTTAATCCACTAGCTGTAATGTCCATACAAGATGTTCCTTCTTTTGCAGGAGATAAGGTGTTCAGGATTTCTTATATGCATAAGAAATAAATGTAAAAATAGGTTAAAAAGGTGAACAGACAGGAAAGCTAAGAAATGGAGTAGAAGGAGAGCTCCTTCGGGAATTGAAGAACCAGCAAATCACTGCTATAAAAATACACAGCTTGGAAACAAGAGTCTCCTGCAGCTCATATGATAGCAACAACTCAGGTACTGAAGGATCACTGCTGGGACATATTTCAGGTGGAAGAAGGAACAAGCAAGAATAATTCAGGCAACTTTGTTGTTTTCACAGCAAATCACAGTTTCTCTCGCAGGGTCCTACCACTCAGGTTCGCTACTTCTTGCTTTACTACACTGCCCATCTACGAGCCTTTCACCGGAGCATTTTATGCCATCCACTGTCTATGTCACGATTTTTTTCTTTCCCTCTTAAGAGCTCCAGAGCTGAAATTAAGTGAAACAGAGTCACACAGAGTCAAGGTGGAAAAAAATCCCTTGCTCTGGTGGGGACTGCAAGAAGCTGATCAGAGGAGGTGAGGGGGAGAGTGCTAATGGGCAGAACTGGAGGCTGTTCCAGCTCTCCTGCTGTGCCTTTGCAGCAGCCACGCCGCTAAGCCGGGCAGCGCGGACAGGAATAGCACAGCTGATCCCTCCTTGCCTGCTGCTGGCGGGGATACAGCTTAGGAGTCTCAGTTTGGAGGGCTAGCGGGGATCCAAGCTCTGCAGAGTAATTTACTGGGGATTATGGGTTTCTGTTATGTTTCTTTTTCTCTGGGGCCATGCTTTTTTCCCTAAGTTTTTTTTCGCCCTGGTGTTCCACGCCTCATTTACCAACTGGACACATTACACTGTTGTGCTCTCCTGTTGCATGATTTACTCTGATAAGCACAGGACCAACGGCTGAGACCTTGCCTTGCACAGCCACAGCGGCCCGCGGCTTCCCACAAACGTTGTCTCGCTCCAGACACTGCACGTGTTTTACCAACGTTAGCCAAATAACCTGCTCGTCGTCTCGAGGAAGCCCACCGCCATGCAAGCCCTAACCAATGCCAGCGCACAGGCTGGCTTGCCGCGGCACACGCTCGTCCTCCTCCATCCCACGAC